CATATACGTGTGATGTATGTAGGTATATGTGCTCGTGTGCATGCACGCGTGTGGTGTATGGGAGTAAATCAATGTGCAGGTGATGCAGAGGCCAGAAGAGGACATTTGGCTGTCCTGCTCTGTTACTCTCTGCCTTGTTCCTGTGGGACAGTGTCTGTCCTTGAACTTGGAGCTCCATGTTTCCCTGGTTAAGCTAAGTCTGCCTCGAGCAGCAGCAACCTAGCAGCCTCCGCAATGCTGGGGTTGGAGGTTGGTTTTTACATGGTAGATGCATGGGCTTGACTCTGGGTCCTTCTGCTTCCATAGAAGCTTCTCTCATCCACTGAGCCACCTCTCTAACTACCTTCTTCCTCAGCCTCCAGAGTAATGGAATTATAGGCATGGACACTGCCACTAGCTGGTCAATGTTTTTAATTCAAAGAATTTTCAGATTATAGTTTTAAAAAACTAGATAAATGGGAGCTAAATATCAATACTGTCATATTAATGGTTTTTGAAGTTAATGGGACAATCTGTGTGTATTTGATACTTAAAATATTTGTAAACTACCGTAGCTAAAACAGCTCTAAGCTATAAGAAGTTGAGTTGTCATTATATCTAACAAGTTCCCTCTCATGACTTTGAATGAGTAATTGGGTAATTGGGTTTCTGATGCCCAAGCAAAAGACACAAACAGAACTCGAGTACTTACTGTAACTTGTAAATCGCCGTCTTTAGAAACTGACTTTATTCATTTTACATGAAAAGTGTAAGTATATAAGTAGGATATGTTTTGCTTTGCCTCCTGTTAGAAAAGTTGAGGATTTTAAAATAAATTTGGGTTATATGATTTAAAAAAAAAACCTGCAAGGTTTAAAGAACATTGATTAGCTAAATTTATGACTAGAATTAATTAGTTTTTAAGATTTTTTTTCAATGTGTGTTGTGTGTCCGTGTACAAATGTTCCTGGAGGCCACAAGAGGGTGTTGGATCACCTGGAGCTCGAGTTACAGGGAATAGCGATGTGGGGATTTGAACTCCAGTCCTCTGGAGGAATAGCACATACTCTTTACCATGGGCCATCTCTCCAGCCTCTAGAGTTACCAGTTAAGGAAGACTGACTCGTTCAGTTTGTGTTGAACAGAAATTAATCACACATTCCCTTGAATGTGACCGACTGCGAAAGGTACATTTGTAGAAGAAAGTTCACTAGCATTTAATGTATTTACTAAGTGTCTGCTAGATGTCAGCTGTAGAGCTGAATGCTAAGAATATGGCCATGAACAAAACAAAGAAAAAAAAAAACTCACCTCAATGGGACCTATATACATTAAGCTTAAGAGATTAGAAAAAAAAGCTTTTATACATTGAAAAGTAATGTTACATATTTTGGTCAGGAAGCTGCAGGCATATCCCTGCCATTACAGCCCTTCCTTATGAGGCTGGAGAAGGAAGATCAGAACTTCAGGATGAGCTTGGGCTATGGTAAGACCTTTCCCCAATAACAGAGACAAAACAGTTCATAGTTTGTTTTTTCATTACACAAAAATTCTCCTGTGACAGTGTCTCTGTTCATCCATGTATCATCAGTGACTAACTCGTTTACACATTGGATCGTCTAATGTGTTGCCTAGAATTTATTATTATTGTTCTTAATTATTCAGAGAAAATAAAAGGATGTAATATTTTTCTTAAAATGCAAATGTCTCTAACCCTAAAAACTAAGATATTTCTATATTTTCAGATAATTAAATCATACTGTGTTTTCCCTAAGTTAAGGCATAAACTTTCTGATAGAGGGAAGAATGGTAGGTAAATTGTGCGGAAAGAAAAGGTGTAGTTGGGCCTGTATATTGTAAGGCTTAGGGCTGGAATTAGGAATACGGGAGAATTGGGTATTGTAATAAAAAGAGTGTAAAAAAGTGCAACAAATTCTCAGCTCTTTTGAGAAAGGCCTGCATGGGGGAAAGAGAAAGAAATCACTAGTTTTCCCAAGTGATTGTTTGCAAAATGCAGAAGACTAACTGCATCTTCAAAATTTCCAGTGTGGGCAAATAAAGCATTTGCAAAATGGTTATGAATTTGAGGGAAAATTATGAATTGATTCCACAGGGAAAAGTTTAAAACATCCCACTTGTATATAACCAACCTTCTGTTCCACCCACCAGCTGGCAGTCCTTTAACACTGGCTAACTACGCATTCTCTGGACAGGCATCTGGGGGACCATTAGACAAGGAGATCCTTGAGTTCTATAGTCCAAAAGACCGAGTTTAAATCTGAACAGCCACTGCTTGGCTAGATGGTCATTAGCATGCTGCTTATTTTTTGCACCTCAGATACTGTTCTATAAAAGAGTTTAGGGTGATGCCTACCTGATGGAGTCTCTGGGTGGTTTGAGATAACACAGGTTCAACAGCTCTCTGTGCCTGTTCCTGACTCTCAAACTTGAACTCATACAAAATTTCCCAAATGTGCAGAAAACAACAACGACAAAAATACATTGTACCTACTACCTGTGATACATCCTAGATGTAAGCAAGAACAGTAGTTAAAGGAATGGAGCAGGGCCTAGGGGTGCAACCAGCTGTCGAGCACTTAGCTTAGCTGGCAGGAAGCCCTGGATTCAAGAAGAAACTAAGAGAAACTCAAATTCCCACTTAGATTCTTGAGACCAGTGATGGGGCAGAGGTTTATCACAGTATTGACAGATGGCCAGGATTTGGCTTTAATTTTATGAATTAAGAAAAAAAAATATGTAAGTGGTTGTTGAACAGTTTGGAAGAAAAAATAATGGTCATAACAGTGGCGTCTAAAACAATAAGTCTCTTCAAATTGTCTGGTACTGGAACAAAACACTATGAACAATAGTTTCTTTAGAAAATTATTTCTATAGGTTCACATAAACCAGGCTGAGTTATTAAGGGGAAAATGAGTTTAATAAGACAGTATTAACCAGATTCCGTATCATCCAAGCAGGTATACTATAAAATTGTTTTGAATATTAATCAACCTCTGGTAACTTTAGTGTTGTCAAAGTTTGTATTATAGTGAGGTAGACAGTTTCCAAAACAAAAAACAAAAAACTCTCCATTAGACACACTTAAAATTTTGTAATAATATTTAAGAAAATGATAACATTATGAGAGAATGAAATATCTGATTAATGCTCAACTTTGTACAACTCGAATATAAACTTTTAAAATATTAGAAATTATAACATTTGAATGCATATAACTTTTTGTACATTAAGATGAATTGCAGGTTTTTTTCTTTGCACTTTCAGTCATCTTAAATAAACAAATATGTACAACCTCAACAGAACAACAGTGCATCCAAAGCAAATGTGCATTTCAGTCAGTTCTCCTGGCCAAGTCTTGTCTTCTCTCTCCTACCATTTTACATAGCCGTGTTGTCAGCACCCAGCCCTTTCCTGGACAGTCTGTAGTTCTCTGAACCAGATAAGCAACAGACTTAGATGGGGAAAGAACGAGCCAGTTGGAGTAACCCAAAACATTCTATACTCATTACCCTGCCTTCCTCAGTTTAAACCACTCCATAGGCAAAGATGGAGAAGCTTAGTTCCCAGAGACTTTGCCTGTTTCATGTTTGAAAATAATCTTGGCACAGACTGATGGAAGGACCAAGGTTCTGACTGCCTGGGAACAGGTTATTTCCCTATGTGCTCTCCTGCTTCCTGCTGGTTTCTTTCCTTGATGCCTGTACCCCAGTTTCCACCCCAAGCTCAGTGTAGCATTTGACGCTTCACAGTTTCTCATTACTCAGGTTTTAAAACACCACCTAACTGGTAATTACAATCTAAAACAATTCTCTAGGGGGAGCCCTGGGCTATTGCTGGCTGGTAATCTCTCAGGAATGTCAGAAAGAGGGGAGGGAACTTAAATTTTAAGAAACTTCAGAGGCAGAGGCTCCTGGCCCTTTCATCCTCTTTCCCTGCTTGGGGCCTGGCCCTTTATCTCCATCCTCCTGTGGGGCCCATCATCTCCCCTCCTGATGTAGCCCTTCCACTCTTTAGGTCCTTTTCTCCTCCTCCTCCTCTTCCCTTCTTACCTTAATTATAGAGTTTCCACCCCTCGCCATTAAAAAAAAAAAATCATTTTCGCCTTAGAAGGAAGTGCTGGAATTCTGGCAAATTCTGTTGAAAGAAATCAATGAGAACCAGACCTGACCAAGAGCTTTTGGGTGGGCTACCTCCAGCCTTGGGAAATGCACCTCCGTGTCACCCGGTCAGAGGTAGAGGCCTTGTGGTTTCTCATTATCCTTCACGGGGTTCCACACGGACTAATTCTTGTCATTCCAGCCATACCAACTCCTTTACCCCCACCAGCAACAGTAAAGGCATCCGGAGACCTGAGTCCAGGGCGGTGGCAGCTCCCAGTTCCCTGTGCTGGGAGAGGCTAGGACAGAGCTGATAAATTCACGGAAACACAGGGAGGAGAGAAGGAGGCAGCTTGGGCTTCTCTCAGGGCAAGACCCTTTTCTATTCGCAGATCCCTTTGGCCAACTCCCCTTAATACTTCCTGTGCAGAAGCCGGGGACGCCAGCTGTGACGCAGCTGGAAAGACTCAAAACACCTCACTCTCTCACACAGGTAGAGACAACCATCTGAAAACGTGGGAGAAAGCCATTGACTCTTTCTCTCACGTCTGCCTCCCCGCGCGAACACTCGTGAACAGGTACCCATCTCCCCTCTCTCCTTCTCCCATCAAAACCAAGGAGACGCAAGAAGAAGAAGAAGAAGAAGAAGAAGAAAATCCAAAGCTGTAATGATAAAGAAAAGAAAGAATCCTTCTAGTCTTTCCAGAGTGGCCCAAATGTGAAAGCCTTAGCTGGGTTGGCGGGTGGAGGCTGGTGGGTGGAGGGCTGGGCCGCCTCCCCTCCCGCCGCGCCCCTGCTTTCCGGCGGTTCCGCACCTGCGGCCTCTTCCAGAGCGGCTCCGGCTCTCCTGTCAGCAGTCAGGCCTCCCCCCGCGGTCCCCGGCCCGGGCGGCGGACGGCACCGCTACCTGCAGCCGCAGGATTCCACCACCATGTCCTCGTACTGCTTGTAGACCACGTTGTTGCCCGCGTCGATGTACAGGATGCTGATGGGAGTCAATTTGGTGGGGACGCAGCAGCTGGGCGGGGTGGAGCCCGGGTCCATGGAGTTCATGAGCGTCTGGATGATGGCGTGGTTGGTGGGCTCCAGGTGCGAGCGCAGCGGAAAGTCGCACACGCCCTCGCAGTGATAGGCCTCGTACTCCAGAGGCGCGATGATCCAGTCGTCCCAGCCCAGCTCTTTGAAGTTCACGTGCAGCGGCTTCCTGCTGCAGCGCAGCCTGGACTTCTTGCCGTGGCGCTTGCCGTGGCGGCTGGCGAAGGCGGTGCGTCGCCGCCGGCGGCCGGGCGAGGGCAGCCAAGGCCCGGCGTCTGGGGCGCCCGACGGCGCTGGCCATGACCCCTCGGCCCCCGCGGCCTCGGCCGAGCCTAGCTGCTCGCGCATCTCGGTGAACAGGTTCTTGCGCTGGGATCGGGTGAACACCACGAGCAAGGCGCGCTCCTGGGGCGGCCGCACCCTCCGGCCGAAGCCCAGACTCCGCAGGTCCAGAGGAGGCAGCTGCTGGGGACCCCTCCCGTGCGCCTCAGTCTCCCCGTCGTCCAGCTCGCCCCAGGCTGCTCTCAGCTCCAAGCACAGCTGCTTCCAGGGCTGAGAGCGCAGGCCCTGCCACACATCGAAGACTTCCCAGCTGGCCTGGCTTGGCCCCTGAGGATCCAGGGTCCTGGAGTCCAGCAGCAGCGCGGACAGACAGGGGAAGAGCTGAACGCGCAGCGGTCGGCCCGGTGGCCCCCAGGGCGTTGGGGGCGCCTGGCGATAAAGCCTCAGTTCTGCGCCCACCAGCTCTTCTTTGTCTGAGAGCGTGGACACATCAAACAAATACTTCTGTCTCCGGAGAGGAGTGTGCGAGAGATCGTCTGCGAGATAAAAAATAATTACAGTCAGTTTCACTTACCGGGAGATCAGCCGTTGCTCTTCGGCAGTCCCCAAGAGGAAGTGGGAAGGAGGGGGCAGGCTGCCAGAGAGTCCACTTTGGCCGCCCAACCACCCCCAGGCTCACCGCCTGGACCATACACAGCCTGAGGAAGCACCACACCAGACTGGACTCCCTCCTCATCTCGGCTGCTGCCTGGAACAGAAGTTTGTACTCCTGTGGGTGTCCGCCTCCCTGAGCTCCCGCTCAGCAGGCTGTGTAACTGCCACTGAGCCCTTGTGGCCCCAAGTCTGGGCCAAGCTTCCCTAGTCTGTCTGACCATCATTGACGCCTCAAACGTGACACAAACCACCCTGATCCAAAACAGCCTCCCTGGGCCTCGGTCGATCACAGACACGTATCTTATTATCTTCCTGGTACTTGAGATTATCTACAATTATCCCTTCTGTATTTGTCAGGAGGTCTGTCTTTCCCAACCACCAGGCACCCTCCACCAACCCATAGAAGGGAAGGCAAAGTCAAATCCACGTACCTAGAGCCCTGGGTGATGCAGAATACATGCAGGTCAATAGACACGAAACTTGTAGAACAGTGATTTTCAATTTGTCTTTAAAAGTATCAGTGTCGGGGGCTGCTTGTCTAATTGAATCGAAATCTAAGAACAGGACCTGAGCGTGAGGCTTCTGTATGCGTGTGGTGACCCTCTTTCCTTCAGACTACAAGTGATTTATAGCTACAGCCATTCTATAATCTCACTAGTACAGGGTCATATTGCTAACACCACACACACACACACACACGTGCCCAGCCTGCAGTGTTGCTGGGACATTTTAGGCCCAGCATGATGGAGACAGAACGGAGAGTTACGGTGTCACTTCTCTCTTTCTTTCCAAGTCTTCGTCTTCCTTACAACAAATAAGAGTGATACAGCTTTCAGAAGTGGAGACAGGAGGATGACCAAACTAGCACACCAGACTTATACCTACTGAGAGATCTTCTGGTACATGGGAAACAGGCATTCCTGGAAAGAGAAAACCTCAGCCAGGGATACCTAGACACAGGCAGAAACATTCCCCACCCCTTTTCCCACCATCCAATCTGATATTCTGTTTCACAATGAATGTGACTAAGATTCATTTCTTAAGTTACAAGTGAGAAAAAGAAATTTGTGACATGTACAGATTGGCAGACTTTAAAATTTTCAAGGCAAATTCTTTAGGAGGAGGAGAAAAATGACACCCCCTCCCTTTTTTTTTTTTTGACACTTTGTGCATGCAGCCAACGTCACTTCAACGTGCAAGGCGGAAAGTTAAGCAGATTTTCCTGGGCTGCCTTCCCATAAAATGTTTACAACCCAGCAAATACAAAAATCCCCAAAGCCCCCCGGCTTTCCCCAGAAGCTAGTAAAGTTTGGGTCCATTTCAGTAGTAAAAGTATGGCTGGGTTCAGTCGGACCCTCACTGCCTATCCAGATGTAGCCTGGGGACACATAGCCCATAGACACTGGCTCTGGAACCTCATCCACACCCAGCCAGCACTCTGCTAATTGCTGGCCCACTGCCTCTAAGGTACAAGCCTGCACCTGAGATAGAGCTGTGAGAAGGGTCAGAGAGATGAAAAGGAGAAAAACTGCCACAGGAAGTTGATTTATGGAAGTCAAGATCTTTAAACCAATGGGGGGCGGGGGGGTACAACACACTTTATTTTCCTTCATAGAAAGCTGTGTTTAACAACGGTGCTTAGCCACTACCCAGATCTTTGTACTTGTCACCTTAGGCTTCACTTCCTCTTTCTCTTTCTCTTACCAGTTTAGGCTGGAATGAGAAAGACAAACTGCAGATGCATGCTTCCCCCCTAAATGTTGTGAGGGCTGGCATAATTCTAACCTTGGCTCCACTGAAGAGTTCGATAGGGTAGGTGGATACTGTTTCCATTTCTATGGTGGCAAAAGCAAGGTTTGGGAAAATTAGTTACCTAAAATTACCTAAAAGAAGTTGAAAATTAGTTACCTAAAAGAAGTTCCAAAGCTTGAGAGGTTAGCAGTGAGTCCCATTGCCTTTGCACTGTAGGCCAGATATGGAAGTCTAGAAGCAAGCAAGAATGGCTGGGAGCTAAAGGAAGGAGGATACAGACCAAGCTGTATGTGTAGAGGTTTGGGGAATAAATGCTGGCCTCTTTGGAGAAATCATTTCCATCTCTGTTTTCATAATTTTATATACTTGGTTGTTGGCTAGAGAACATAGGCAGATATAAAGAGCAACAATTCATTTATTTATCTTTCCTGCAACATGGAAAGATCATCCTTCTTTTCTTTTTTTTTTTTTTTGGCCTTTTTTTTAGGGGGAGGGCAAGGTTTGAGACAGGGTTTCTCTGTGTAGTCCTGGCTGTCCTAAAACTCACTCTGTAGACCAGGCTGGCCTTGAAATCGCAGAGATCCTCCTGTCTCTTCCTCCCAAGTTCTGAGAATTAAAGATATGTACCACCACAGCCTGGTTAGCCTACAGAGCTGAGTCAAGCTGTGACAAGCATCTTATAGAGAAAGGCTCTTGTGGATTCTTCAACCCTAAGTTGTCTGGTGACCTGCTTTGCAAGACTATCCTATCCATATTACTATTCTAGGATGCAAGAAAGAATGCAAGTATGGCCTCCATATGTTCCCCTTTCTTCCTGTGCTAGTCTTCCTCATTATTGGATGAGTCCTACTCGGATACTTACAGCCACCCCAGTCCGCACGTCACAGCATCCCAGGTAAACATACTCATGAGTGGTGTGATCCACTCCTGAGAAGATGGGTTGGTAAAGAAGCCATTGAACTGGGGTAAAGGCCAGAATTCTGTGGTTCAGAAACCTATAGTGGCCATTAACACACACACACACACACACACACACACACACACACACACACACCAAATACCAAACAACTAAAACAACCTAGCCTCATGAATAGCTCATGGGAACTTGTTGGAGACAGACATTATCTCAGGTTCCAGAAGCTGAAGGGGCTGCCTTTCTAGGAACATCCGGATGATGCTCAGCAACTCACTCTGAGAAAACCACTGACCCAGATGAGCATTGGGTTTCCCATCAAGAGGGGAAAAGAATGCAGTGGAGAGAAAGCAAAGCACCCAAGTCCAGGGCATGATCCAAGACACTTCCACCAAACCATGTCACCATCTTCCTCAGCTCCTTCTAGTCCACATAAACACTCATTTTTTTAATGATTTCATCCAGATGATTTCTCAGCATGTCTGCAGAGCCTCTAACTCCTAAACAGAGGACCCAAGAAGGTAGCTGCTCTCTACAGATCCCATCCAGAGCACATTCCCCACATGTTTGGACCTGCTTTGGAGCCCTATGCAGCAAGGACATAGACAGGAAGGGGCATACCGTAGGTCTGGAATGTAGAGACCACCATGTGAGCACAGTTACAAACTCCTGCAAACACTTTACCAGCTGACCTGGCAACCCAAATCCTGGCCCAGCTGCCATGGGTCACCCGTGGCCAGCAAGCTAGCCCTTTGCACAGCCTGGCACAACCCTTGCCTCCTACTAAGTCTTCTGTAAATATGGATGATGTCAGAAGATGACTCCCTCCCTTGTATAAATGTGCACTGTGGGCCTCAAAAGCTATAACACTTCCTCATAACTATCTCAAAGTCATCCTGAAAATGATTTCCCTGCTTTGGGCTCTTTAAATTCAGAAGTGATCAGTATTCATCATGAAAGGCTTCTGTTTGGATCAAAGTAATTTGTTACAGCCAGGCTTGCCCATCTACTCAGCTGAGGTCTCTGAGAATGGGACTCATAACCCTCTCAAGATACAACTGTAGGGGTTTCTTTTTTCTTTTCCCTTTTTGTCTGAAAGATGAGTAGAGAAAAGAGGAGGAAGAAAAGAGGGAGAGGCTATCACAGGCATATCTGAAGAAAATCCTTGGCAAGTAAAAAATTGGCAAAATACAATAATATGGGCAAGCCTCATGCTGACACTTCTGGTGTGGGGTCTTTGTTTTGTTTGTTTGTCTGTTTATTAAAAACTCTATGTAGTCATAGCTAAAGTGAAACTCTCTCACCTTTCCCTTTTTTTTTTCTAGAATTACATCATCCAGAGCTCCTAGTTCCAGATGTTCTAAAAATTAAAATAGAAGGCAAGTATTGATAAAAAAGATGTGTCTCAGTCAGAATAAATATAAATTAAGAAGACAAGGCTTTTAATTGAAGAAGAAAGATAAGGAGCAATAATGGAAACTGACTTTCTTAGAAAAGCAAGTTTGGGCTAAGGCGGGCACAGCAAATAGATGAAGGACTCTAGAGGCAAACACTAAAAAGAGAAAAAGATGGGTGAGAGAGCCCACAGACAGTCTATGCCTAGGATACAAAGCAGCATATTCCTCGAGCTATTTCTCCCTAAGGGCTTGCTTCCCACCCAGCCCTCATAAAGTTTCTAAAAAGCTGAAACTTGCCTAGGGGACTGGACTAGAACTGTTTTCCCAAGACATCACTGGGATCTTATACAGCTGAGGTCCCTCTTGAGGATTCATGTTGGATTTGGTTTTTCCAGTGCCTAGAACTAAGAGTGATTTCAAAAAATCCAGCAGATCCATTTACACAATGATTGGTTTCTTGTCCTCTAAATTAAAGGATACTCTCTGGATGGATGCTGGTCAGACTCCAACAAACTCCTCCATCTGTCTGGTCATGTTTCCTGGCTCTTGAGAGGCACAGAATCTGTAGCTAGTACAGCTCAGAAATCTCAGAACATGTGACCTTTCTCATTCACAAACCCTAAGTAAGATTAGGCCCTGGGGTGCAAAGATAAACAATCATCTTTTCGAAGAACACTCCAGAACTTTTTGAGACTCAGCCTCTTCCCTGGCCCCCTACTTATTGTAGACCCAGAAGTAGTTCTGTACACGGTCTTTGAGCAAGGCTCATGGAACTCAGAGCTTTGTGGCCTCTCTCAGGTCCCTTCACCAAGCTTTCAAG